AAATTCCTACTTGGAGTGTTTGATTGCTATTTTTTTCCATGGAAAATATTTTCCAACTTTTGAAAATATGTCTAATTTTCCTTGTTTTTAAGGAAAATATTTTTCTTAGGTGGAGATGATTTTTATTTTCCTCAAATAAGGAAAATATTTTCTTTTCTATGTGATATTTTTCATGTCAATCAAACACACTCGTAATCTAAAATTTAGAAAGATTGACAACAAAAGGATGAGTTAAACCAATATTTCGATAATTGGTAGACAACATCCTAATGTCTAGCAATTGAAATCCAAAAGATCAACAAGAAAACAAGTTTACAAGTTCCTTTCTCCAAGAGGTAGAAGGGTCTTTTCAAGAAGGCTGCGGAAATGCGCCTATTGTGTGGCACAGATGTAACAATCCTCATTCAAGCTCTAGGTAACAAGTTTTTCATTTTTGGTGAACCCTCTGTGGAATCCATTTTGAATCGATGCCATTTTCTTGATGATGCCCACAATCTGGTGGTTGAAGAGAGGGGGTAAAAGTGAGAGGGAATTTTGGTGGGAGAATGAAAACTTGGAAAAAAATGGATTTGCGTGAACTCGGAGTGTTGAAGAAGATACTAAACTGGCTAAGAGATAAAGTTTCGAATTGTGCTTCCCGCAATCCAATGGTTGAAAAGTTGGGTAAAGGTGAGAGGGAATTTTGGTGGGAGAATGAAAACTTGGAAAAAATGGAGTTACATGAACTTGGAGTGTTTGAGGAGTATTGACCGAGCTAGGAGATGAAGTTTTGAATCTTCTTTTTTTATGACAATCAATTTTGATTTTAGCATTAATTCTTTGTTTTTTTCCTTGTTTCATGATTGAATTATTGATGTTTAGCATTAATTTTTTTTTGTTCTCCCTGTTTCTTGATTATATTATTAAAGTAGAGCATTAACTCTTTGGTGTTCCCCCCATTTCTTAATTGAATTATTGAAGTTCAGCATGTCAACCATGAAAATTTTATAGAGCCGAGGTAATGTAAGACAATCCCACTCTTATAATGATCGAGTTGAGAAGAGCTCAGCTGGAGAAAAGAGAATTGAACTTGCTAGTCATGAATGAGTCAAAGCGAAAGCAAAGACTGCAAAAGAAGAGGCACGTGATTTATAACTTGGGGAGAAGGCTTGCATTCGTGAAAAGGTCTTGGATATATTAATGAACCTTTCTCTGATGCTTAAAGCCTTGGAAGAGATGGCGTGAACTAATCCTATTTCACATCGTTGGTTAAGTTTGGTTATCCTTTAATCAATTCAACCATTTTTGGAAACTCTCAAAATGTATAGTCAATCCTTCTATAATTGAGCTCTTGAGATTGCAATTGCGCTCGAACTGATTGTAACAAAAGAAGTTAACGTTTCGTGGAAAATATTTCCACCTATTGGTGAAGTGGAAGTCAATGAAGGGCCATCCTTATTTCTTTTGGAGAGAGTATTTAGAGGCTTGTCAATTTTTTTGCAAATATGTCCTCTTCAAGTTGACTCATTTAAGTTCATTATTTCGATAATGGAATGAATACTGCTATCTCCCAAGAAGACAAACCTTCATCATGATGATCTTATTCTTCATATTCTTTTCTTGCTCATGGATCCTATCTTGTTCATACCAAGGAGTCGCATGCTATGATCTTGCACATTGTTCCTGGTATTGTTCCTAATGTATTGGCAAATATTTTTCGACATGGTAGTTAGGTCAAATGTATTCTTTCATGTGTGAACAGCTTGCTTGAATGACTGTAAAATGAATTCATGATGTTTCCGTTCCTCAAAATATAAAGGTTACAACGAGGATTTGGCTTACTTTACATGATCCAAAGAAGTTAGTTGTGGAAGCCACACTGAGTAAGTATGATAGGCACCTAATTTTAGAAGAATATGAAAGATTTGAGAAGAATGTGCAGCAATAGAATTCTCTTTAGAATGGGAGGTCAGCAGTTAGAAAGGTTCTATAAATAAAGGGGAAAACCATACTAGGTCAACAAGCAATAGAAGAGTACTAGATAGTCTGATTTACTTGTGTAACAACTCGGGTCTCTGTACCAAAATCGTTAGCTTATGTATTATCCGCTTTGGGTGGGCCTTACGCCCACTTACTCCTTACGGCTTTCTGTCGCGTCCCCCAGGGTTTGAATGAGTAGTTATATTCGTGAAAAAAGAAATGGACATTTGTTTAACATGACAATTAGTTGATTTATGTTATTTAACCAATTTTGATGATGAATTTTTCTTCAAATGGTGAAGAATGATATAAGACAACCTATTAATAATTGGATATTTATAATAAAAATTCGTTCTGTAATAAGTCTATCTCTTTATCCCTTTTCTTATTTAGAATAAGATTTTTTTATTAGAATATATTTCCTTATTTCTTTTATAAGCCCTTGTTTGAGCCCCATTTTGGAGAAAAGAATATATTTTGAAATACTGTTTTCTAGAGAATATGTAATTAAAAAATAAGAAAAAATATTGATTTATGTGTAAATTTATTTTATTGAAGAATATGTAGTTAATAATGAATTTTTGATAAGAGGAGCTCAAACGAGGGCTAAGATTTTAGTTCTTTTCTTTAAGGATTTTAGTTTACATTCCTTATATTAGTAATATTGGAAAATTATTTTACAGATATATATATAAATTTTGTACACTTTTCAATTTTAATCAATTTTATACAATAAATTATTGTCTACAAATTTCGAGTTTTTAAATTTTATTCTTGCTTCATAAATCCCAATTTCACTTTTGATACACGAGCATAACATAGTATTGGACAAAAAATAGTAAATTTGAATAATCAAACACATCAAGTACTTTTCAATTATGGATTCAAAGTATATCGTCTTCTACCTATATGGATAGAAATTTTGAGTGTTTTTTATTTTCTTGATCAACCTACAAGCAAACTTCTCAAAGGTCAATGGTCACTATAGTTTAAACTTTATTTTCTAGTTGTTATTGAACTTTAAAAAAAAAAAAAAATTTGAATAGTAACCGTACTTTAAAAGGTAATTTCTAATAGTTGTTGAACTTACTTCTTCTTCATTTTTTTTTTACGAATGATTTATGCACTTTCAAAGTTGTTTTCTAACAGCTACCTTTATGTTTTAATTAATATTGTTTTTCCACTAAATATTACGAATTGTAAAAATGATTTCAATTATAGGGGGTGTTTGATAGATATTTTTATGTAAAAATGTATTTTAAAATAGTAAATTGATGTGAAATTTGTGCTTGAAAAATAAGGAAATTTTTTTTTACGTGTAATATTATTTTAATAAAGAATGTGTGGTTGAAAGAAAGAGATAGAAAAATACATTTTGAAAAAAATGGCTACCAAACGGGGCCATTATGTTATTTGAATCTTTAAAACAAAATAATTTACTTTTTACATTCATTTTCAACCATACATTCCCACAATAACATATTTTGCACATAAATTCAAAATTTTTTTCACTTTTAATTACACATTCTCCCAAAAAAAATCAATATTCAAAATATTATTTTTAAATAATAATGACCCTCAAACAAGAGCTTAGTTCCCAGCATAAGAAAACGGGAAAGTTTACTAGTATTTCCAAATTTGTTGCTCTCATAAACAATCTTTATAATAATGTATTTAATTATTTTTGTTAATGATATGTTGTTAAATGTTTTGCAACTTAATTTTTGATCCACAATAAAGAATATCTGGCTTCGCTATTGGACCAAGGAGCTAATAAATATTAAAGGAAAGTAAGATTTAGGCTTTTGCTACCATTGTAAAAATGGATTGTTGAGTACAGTTGATATTTTATTTTAATATTTTAAATCATTTTAAATTATTTAATATTTTAAATCATTTTTAAAAAAAAATAAAAAAATCATTTTTAATAAAATATTGTACCGAAATCTTAATTTTTTTATTTTAATATTTTAAATCATTTTAAAAAAATGTAGAAATAACATTACAAAAATAAATAAATAAATAAATGAAGGTAATTCGTTCAGACCAAACATATTAATCGATAGAAAGAGTAAATTTATGTGGAAAGTTATCGATCACTCTACTTAACAACGCAAAGAATACACATACAATTCTTGATTAAACATTAAAATCCGTTATTGGCTACTATATAATGAAGTCTATAGTCCCCGTTTGATTGGGAATGAAATCAAATTTTTAGTAAATTTTGATAAAAGTTGATGAAATGTATGTGATTGAAAAAAAGTTGTAGGTCCCATGATATATGTTATTAAAATTTATTGTTGATTTTGAAGTAAATTAAAATATAGAATTTAATTCGTACCAAACAAGACATAAATTAATAAAAAAAAATTCTTGAAGTTCCCTTTAAATATTCTATTTCTCTTAAAAAAAGATAAAATAAGGAATTCCGAATTTAGGACCCAATAAGAAGTGGGAAAAATTCATTTCTGAGAGGGTTACACCCCTTTTCAAAATTAAGAAAAATGTTTAGAACTTTCAAAAATCAGATTTTTTAAAATTTATTTATAAATTAATTTGTTAAATATATATTTTATTAATTAAATATATTTAGGTCACAATTTTTGGTCACAGTTATCTAATAAATCAGTCACGATTAATTTGTAGTCACAAATTATCAAATTATTGATCGCAACTTATTTTTCGGTCACAAATTAAAAAAATTATAGGTCACAAAATATTTTTCGATCACAAATTCAAATATTTTATAGGTCATAGATTCAAATTTTTTATTAATTACAACTCATTTACTCATTATAAATTATTGGATTAATTGATCACAATTAATTTTTCGATCGCAATTTAATCAATAGTTAGTCACAATCAGAAGTTACAGTCACAATTTTCAAGCACGATTAATTTTTTGATCACGCTTTAATCAATCGTGAGTCACAATCAGGGGTCATAGTCATAATTTTCAGGCCACGATTAATTTTTTGATCACGCCTTAATCAATTGTGAGTCACAATTAAGGGTCACAGTCACAATATTCAGGTCACATATCCAATTATTAATCACAATCATCAAAATAATTGGTGACAAACATTCAATCCTATCCCACCCCGACCACCGCCACCACCTCCAACATCTCCACCACCGCTGCCAACATCACAACCATACCGGCCAAACATCACCAAAACCATATCATAGCCACTGCCACAACCATGCCGTTGCCACAACCGCCCAATCCGATTTCATCTCTCAGATCACCGTCGATTTCGTCGCTGTAGCAGATCCCAGATCTTAACGACACCACCACAAAATTGATCCAAAACCACCATCAACTATCCACCACGTCGCCACCGCCTGCACCGCATCCAACAAAAAAAAATCAACTACAACAACCACCGCACCTCACGCCACCGCCGCTACACACACACCACACCCACGCACACACAGATGTTGTAGTAGCGGTCGTGACGCTGCTGCGAATGACAGCGTCGATAAACAGCATCGTCGCGACGCTACAGTCGCAGCAGCATTGGTCGGTGACGCTGCAGTGACGCTCGACAGCCTCCATTCCAGCAACGCAAGTCGAAGCAGCTCCTCCATCCTCCATCATCGGCGATTTTGAGAGAGAAGACATGGGAAACGAAGAGAGAGAAGCAACTCTTCCATCCTCCGTCGTCGGCGATTTTGAGAGAGAAGACATGGGTATGAAGAGAGAGAATGAAATTCAAATCAGATTAGGGTTTGGAATATTAATGGATTGAAAGAATTCATTTTTTTGAAATGTTAAAACATTGGCCTACTTTCAGAAATGTGGATTTTTAATGTGGGTTTTGTGTAATTTCCTCAAAAACATAACTAGGAGAGCCTGCTAATAGGTTAGCAGCAAAATATTCATGTATAAGCAGAATTTCAGCAAATACTAGTTTGAATGTGATTCCAATATCTCCGATTATCTATACCCATAATCACCATCATCTTTGAAGAAATCGACAAACATGTCCCTCCTATTCTCTTGTCAATCCGAAATTCATATTCCAACAAATAAACCAAAAAAATAAAAATTAGACAATTAAATTTCACAATCCAGGACTAGAAAGAGGGACAAAAAAAAAATAACAAGAATTTGAACAAGCAAACCTTTGTGCCGCCGTCATAAGGGTTGGGTTTGGAGAGCCTAACATATAGATCCTTTTTACTTATGGTAATCAAGCTTTGATCAAACAGTTTGCTTAATATAAAAGGGGTAGTTGGAGGGAAATTCGGGACCCAGATGAAATCTGCGGAGACAACTACTCGAAAAGCTTGGTTGATCCATGCTAGTTTGGTAATCTCTGATTGATCCAAGTAGGAGAGAACAAAGAAGGGTGGTAGTAGGGTAACATGATTGGCGAGTGAGTTGCGATGGGGAGTTCAAGGAAGGGGAAGGCAGTGAGAAATGAGAAATCGGGACAATAAGAAGAGAGCTTGAAAGAAGAGGGTTTTGAATAGCTTTCTTTATTATACCGTAATTATTACGCATGTAGAAAAGGCTAAAATGTTAAATGCATTAATCAATATTAAAGCACCCAGACCGAATTGGGGCTAATTTGCCCTTGGAAATTCTATTCACACTTGTTTTTTAACTTTCCAATTCAGAAACAAGGTTTCAAAGTCTTTTGTTAAAAAATCAGGTGGCAATTCAACCTTTTAAAAATTATCAACAATATCCCCACCAATCCCCATCCTCCCATTTCATCCTAAATCCTAAATAATTTCACATTTGTAACATTTCAAATTCGGCTGAAACTGAGGATATCAGAAGACAGTGGCTAAAGCTAAGGAAGATCAAGGGACCACCGGTGATAGCCGCTGCGTATCGATGCTCACACCGTCGTGCGCGGCAAGCGATGCGCAGACCCTACTGCGAAGGTCGCTGCAACGACGATTAATGCCTTTACGAAGTAGCGTTGTAGAACTTAGCGCTCACACTGCTACGCACAGTAGTGTCTCCCTGCACTGCTGCATTTTAGGGGTTTCTTGAGGGTGGTTTTAGGATTGTTTATTTCTCTCCAATTTGATCCGATTTGCTACTTACTAGAGTTTTGGGATGGTTTTTGTTGGTATTTTGCAAATTGTGTTAATGGTGAGGTGGTGATGGTAATGGCGGCGACGGCATTAAAGGTAGTGGAGGTGGTGGTGTTTCGCGTGGGTTGTCGCTAACAATTAAAAAGGGATCAGACGATTGTGTAAGGAACAAACCTCTGGAGACAAAGTCCCAAAAATGGGTGTTTTATTGGCGATGACTTTACAATTGGAACTAAACAGAATGCCTCCAAGGGGTGCAAGCACACGAGTACTGAAAAAAATGTTTTAGTCTAAACTAAGAAATTGAAATTACATATTATCTGAGAGTGTTTGATTCGGGGTCTTGTGCTCTATGTCTTTTCTTCCTTTTATATTCTTTTGATGATCTCTTCGTGATCAACTGCTTAGAAACTGTTTAATTGCTTTATAATTGCCCACTTTCTTCATGGTGGCCAACTTATCGTGGAACTGCCGTCTCTAATTGCTGCCACTACTCTTTGTCGCTCAACCGTCTTCAACTAAACTCCTTGAATCGTGGAACGTGATAAGATTACTCAATATCTGCATCGATAATTGCATTTTTGGATAACCATAACATCTTATGTTTGCTAAAATCCTGGACGATTCGAAGGTTTGGGCGAGAACAAGATCATAACTCTGAGCGACTGCAAGGCACTTCATTCGCTCAGATGTTGAGCGTCTTACAAGTTTGGGCGATGGTGTTACCGCATTTGTGGGCTTCCACTGCATTCATTAATAACCATATTCGGGCCTTTATCCTGAATTGCCCAGTTGGACTTCATTCTTTGGGCTGCACTTTTAGCATGTCAACAGGTGGTGTTGGCGATGGTGGTGAGGTTGCTCGGGTTTGGTTGGTGCCGATGATGGAGTGGCATTGGGGGTGGTGTTGATGGTAACGACGGTGGTGGTGGTAGTGCTATTGGTGGTGACAAATGGTGACTGCTTTGGTTGATTGTGAAATGGTATTGGGGGGTGAGGTGGGATGAAGAATGTTCGTAATGTTATTATTTGGGTGATTCAATTTAATAAAATAGTTAATTTGTGATTAATAAAATTGGGACTAAATTTGTAATTTTGATTCACAATTTATTAAGTAGTAATCAATTAATTTGATAATTTGTAATCTAAAAATTTCTTGCGACCAATTAATTTTATAATTTGTGATTGTAAATTAAGTTGTGAATTATAAAATTTGTGATTTTTGACCAAAAAAAAATAAAAATACATGATATCTTAATTTGATAATTTGTGATAAAAAAATAGGTTATGACCTATAAAACTTTTGTTTTGTGAATGTGGCTTTTTGTGATTGTGACTAGTACGTAACTATGATCATAAACTGCAACTATTTATTGTTCAAGTATTTTAAATATGTATTTTTCCCTTTATCGATTTGATCAATATAAGATTTATCCCTTTACATAAATGTTTATGCCAAAATAAAGCTGCTAGACGCCCATGTGGCTCTGGTCATATAGTAGTGCTCGTTTGTACCACAGACCCGTTGCATGCCTGGTTCAAACTCATTCCGTGCTTGAACAAGAAGGAAATGAAAAATAGTACCAATGAATAAGAATCACGAAATATAGTCGCCAATCGCCATTCAAATTTAATTGACAAATTTTGATAGTCTACACAATTTTTGGAATTTCATATCAATTCCATTTTTAAGGAATAAAATTATCCTAAAATCAAGGGATTTGCAAATGCGATCTTTTTCAATAATTAACAAAAAAACCTATCCCTTTTTACTCTTTAAAGAAGTCGTTTTGTTAAGTGTATACGCACATTCTATAGAAAATGATATAGACATAGTGGTAATTTAACGAGAGACTATGCAATAATAAGATTTCACTTGATCTTAGTCAAATAAAAATTCTTTTACGGCATGCAGAGGGAAGTGGTTTCCTTCGGGGATCCTGGACCACACCAAAGTTTTCTGACTATTGTTTTTACCTTTTTTTTTTTTTTTCAATTTTTTTCTTAAACGATTACTTAGGGCTTAGTTTCGTTTTATTTTTATATTTTATTATCGGAATGAAACGAGTCCAATTAACATTGTATTAGAATTTTATTTAAACTGGCATAAAAAATGAAAACAAAATTGGATTTTTAAATCTCAGTATTGATTTGGGACCTCAAATTAGCGATTTTTTAGGTCGAAAAATGCATTACAAAGTTCGTCATTAAGAGCCTGTTTGGTACCTATTTTTTTCAAAATGTATTTTTCTCTCTTCTTTTCAACCACACATTCTTTATTAAAAAAATATTACACGTAAATCAAAAAAATTTCCTTATTTTTCAACCACACATTTCCCATTAATTTACTATTCAAAAATGCATTTTTACATAAAAATATCTTCCAAACACCCTCTAATTCTTCGAGACAATAGCCATAGCCATAGCCATAGCCATAGCCATAGCCATAGCCATAGCCTACATGAATGGGTGAAGAACATAGCCCAAAACTAAAAGTTGAAAAAGGTGACGCAATAATGAAAATTAAAGGATCAATAACCTGTTTATTAAATCTCTTTTGACAGGCATTTTTGACTTTATTTTGAACTCAGCCTCTTATCGTGAAGTTTTATTTATTTATTTATTTTTTCCCCCAATCTGAAAGAGTTGTTACGAAGTTTGTCATAGATTCCTTGATTTTCGACGAGTGATGAACATAACCCGATATTAAGTTGAAAGAAGTGACCAAAATGAAAAAATAATAATAATAATAATAATAATAATAATAATAACAAAATAAAATTAAAAAAAAAAAAAAAAAAAAAAAATATAAATATAAATAAATATTTAATTTTAAAAATTTTTTCTAAAAACAAATGTCAAAAGGGATACATCATAAATAGAGAAATTTACATAAATAGTAAAACTAGTGCTGATCATCAGAAAGGAAGCGGAATAGAGCTGTGCTAGGAAGACACACATTTAGTAAAGCACTAAACGTATCCATCATCTCAAGATCTATATGTGACCGTCGTAACATTGTAGCAAAGCAGAAACTAGTTATTGATGATATGAAATCATCGCTTTCTACTCTTAGTTTTGGTGATCCTCGACTTGCTCGTTTCATCAGGGGGCTTCCAGATAATATCATCAAGGTTGTTATAGAAGTTCTTGTAAAACTACCAAAAAAATAAAACGAGGTCTTGATACCTCAAACAAAGGAATGGCCTACTATTTTTAACTTGTTCCAATTCACAAGACAGGAGACGGGTTAAAAATCAAAATGGCCACAATACTTTCAATAGTGTTTCACAACCGTCTCTCTGTTCCTTATGCTTGAACGATGCGGAGTGATCACTGGGACGTTAAAATTTCAGCGTCTGCAGCGAAACAACTCTGAAAGCATAGGGACTGTTTTTTAAAATTCTAACATCTTAGAGAGTATTGATGGTGAAACTTTCGGAAAAACCTTTTAAGTGCAGTGATTTCGGGAAACAGTGTTGAAAGGTCAGTGGGAAACAGTGTTGAAAGGTCAGTGGCCATTAAGATTTTTCACCCACCAGTAATAGTAAATTAGTAAAGTCACATACTGAAGGCAACATAAAATACTAACCTTGAGATATTCATCACCATCTCCAGCTGCTTTCTGAATGTCAACCATGATAAATGTAGGAGGAACTTGAAAAATCTGCTTAAAAATGTAAAGTTTATGGGATGCTTGTCGAATGATAGAGGGACTGCAAGTGGCAAACGAAATTTACCTCCAGAATGACAGAGAAATGTGAAGTCCTATTTGGGGAAAGACCTTCCACCCTCATCTAAGCAGCACAGTAATTTCAAATGAATCAGAATTCATTCATCATCAGTTAGATGGATTACTGATAAATTTGTTATATAAAATTTGTGATATAATGAAATCCGTAGGCTACACATGCAGTATTAACCATGTTCATCAATAATAAACTTCAAACCAGTCTACCTTATAGTTACGAATGTGTGTCTTGAAGCCCATTGATTGTGCAACAACTTCCATACTCGATAAAACAACATTTGCAGGCTTCTGTGAAACAAAACGGGTTTGGTGCTTCACTGAATCCTGTTTAAAAAAGGCAATATGTTATGTATTATCTCAGTACAAAGTGCATTACGTACTACATCGTCGAAGTAATACTCCCAAAGCACTACCAACCATAATGAAAAGAGATAAACTGCAACACTTGAATTAATAAACATGAGGATCCAGAAATATAAGGAAACACAAGATCTTGGACGAGAAGTCTGGAAATTATATAGGTTGACTCTAAAAGACTGGAGAAGAGGTTGATTCATAGTTTCTTACCGGCCTGCGATCGAATATTGCTGAAAGGTTTAATCCTTGAGACAGAATAATCAGATCAAATGCATTCAGAACCAGAGGGCCCACATCCTCGTTCCCACATTGCTCATTAGGCAGTTCTTCCTACAACAAAACAAGTTTTGGTAAACTGAATTAGGCCGTATAAAGAATTTTGTATAAAATTATAATGGACAATTTAAATAGATGATATTTTGGTGGATATTCATGGATATTATTTAACTTTTCATTCAACAGATTTCATTTGCACTATCAATGGTATAACATAATATAGGTGTTAGAGGTGGGTTTAGACGGAATAAAAAAAAAATATAGTAATTAACTTTATTTGAATAATAATTCAAAGAACACCATTCACCTTAATCCCCTCTACTTGATAATATCAATTATAATTTTGTACAAAATTTCTTATGCGAACTATTCCAACATGCCAAAAAAATGAGAATCCCAATGGAGATATTATTTAATTACTTTCTAAATTAGATACTTATTGTTTTAGGAAACATAATTAGGGTTTTATTTAATATATTTTCTAGTATTTTATTATTTGTTTACTATCCAAATTAGATACTTAGCCCCTGTTTGTTTTCCATTCTTTCTCATTAAAGTGAAAAATATAACCGTTATCTATCACATCTAACCATCATATTTGAATTTCTATATCTTGTGTGGAGTTCGTAACGACTATATTTTTCATTCTCATTTTTACATAAATGAGAAACAAAGGGGGCCTTATTTTAGAAAACATAATTAATGTATTATTTAATAAAATTTTTAGTATTATCCTATTTAAATTAGACTAGTTAAATCATTATATCCTTGTAGAAAGGGAGTTTATGCATTGTAACAGTTAAGACTTTCAAATAGTATAAATTTATATTTTGTCCCTCTAAATTCTTTCCAATCTCTTCCTTCTCTCTCTTCCTCTACCTCTTTTTATATCACTTTCATTCTTGTTCAATTGTCTTCTACATCATCAATTTGATGTAGAGCAAGTCATATTCCTTTGGTCAAACCCCCACCATCCAACCCATAAATATATCAAATTGCATCCAACAAACATAGCCCCCTAACCAGTCACCGCCATCCTCTACATCTACTTCATTCAAATCCCATGAAACAGAACATTTTCCTTGAGGACTCTTCAAATCCTATAACAACCATGCATACACAATCATATATCAAATTATTGTATACATTTCCTTCTAGTTAATGTCTACACATGGATTCTCTTTCTAATACATGCAATCCACTTCTTAAAATTATAAATGAATTCTTGCATTCTAAATCTAATAAATTTTGTGTATCCAAGATTGTATTAATACAAAAGATTCACAATTCTTTCTTCAAGATTCGAAGTATAAGATTGTTATGGATAGAGGCGTCAAACCGGGTGGTCCAGCCACAAACCGCTAGGCCCATCCAGTAAAAGCCCGAGCTAGTTAGGGTTGGTTGGGTCCGACCCTTGGTATTTGGCCCAGGGGTTACACTATTTAAAGTTGAATACTTTTGAAAGTGATATTAAGTTCCGCCACAATTTAAGGCTAAAATCAAGGCCCTTAAATTGCAGAATTAATTCTGGGTTTATATCTTGCTTCAACGCAGAATTTAATTCTTCCTTGAACCTAGGCGAAAAAGGGACTGTTATCAAGACAGGTTATGCCTTGATATTTGAATCAATGAATAAACTACCTTGTTTTAAAGTAAATGGGAGAATTATTAATAATTTATTTATTTTTTGGTACTTCAATTTTACAAAAAACATTTGAGATATGGTTTCAACTCAAATAGCACAGGACTGGTAACAGTAACGTACTGGTTCTGGCATTCCTCCGGCCTCCATGCCTGCCGGTTCAGTAAAGATTCATGTTTAAAAGTCCAGATTTATTTCTAATAAATCTACCACGAACCATACGAGTTCAGAGTAGAAACTATTTTCCAGCACTTCAGTGCAAATCTCCCAAACGAAAAGTGTCAACTGGAGTTGTTACCGTGGGAGCAATCAAGCTAAACATTACACAAAATTTCTAATTGTACTGAAAGCAGTTCTAAAAGTTCAGTTAAAAATAGACAATAAACTCAAAGTTTACTGACCTCATGATCATCAAAGGCAGCATTGACATCATCCAAATCAACTTCTTCACTTTCAGCAAGTTTTACAGGAACATAGCCCCTTTTAAACCACTCATCATTTCTGATATCTTCAATACGAATGCGCTACACAAAATTGCCACCAATGGGCAGGAGAGTTTAGCAACAACTATTTCTTCAAATTGAAAAAATAAAAAAAATAAAAATAATAAAAAAAAATGGTGTACTGTCACAGTTATGAGTTAACTAGTTAAAAAACTCTAATATCTTAAAGAGTCATTAATTTAGACACTTCAATTACTTGCAAGAGAAGCTCAGTTCAGCTGAATTAATACTATGCACATATGGCAGATTGGTGTGTATGAGCCCAACATCAACCAGATTTTCTTTTTTAAGTAATAACCTCTACTTCTTACACGAACATGGCACTTCACTGATTTTGAGTCTAATAACAACCAGATTTCTTCATTTTAAGTATAAGCCTCTTATTTTCTTTACTAAATTTTAGTCTGACAAGGGATATTCAGCTTCCCAGAACTACAATACTTGATGATATGACTGTATCAGGTACACTTTAAAATTATAATGAAGTGGCACATCCCAGTGTGTGGAGCTGCCATATCAGAAATTACAACACAGATAATATCTATGCTTGTTTATTCAGGATACACCACATTATTACAAGAGAGAATAACATCTTACAACAATCTATGGATAAAAGACCAATAGGCGACCAAGATGTACGCTTACTGACGCATTATATTAATAGATGTAACAAAACAAATATAAACATATTCTTCGTCACACAATCAATACTTACTGTTTCAGGATTTGGATCTAATATTCGATGAATCAAGGATTTTGCTCCAACTGGAAACCAGGATGGGCAAGCAAACTCTGATTTCTCTATCTGCAGAAAGCATGTCAAAAGTTCCAATGAGGAAAAATAATTAATCCATTAGACTGACACGAAACATACTTACTACACCCATTGAGAATGTGAAGAGTCCATATCATCATTCAATTGCTCCTATTCCCGGGGGTTTTGGTACATATGTGTAAACCCCAACTAAAGCCACCTATAAATATTTGGTAAATGTACGTATAAAATTAAGGTCAAATACCTTGCCGTACAACGTTGTTAGATCAACTTCATCAAATGGTAGATAACCAGCTATTAGAACATAAAGAATGACACCACAAGACCAGATATCAGCCAAAGCACCATTATAGCCCTTATGACTAAGTACCTACAGCCACAAATAAATAAATAAAAAAGAAAATTTGAGATAATTTTGCCTTCGCAGTTACAGATTTAGATGCGACAAAGAAAGTGCTCTATATGTTACCTCTGGCGCAACATAATTAGGAGTACCACAAGTTGTTCGGAGGAGGTTGACTCCCTATACACAAACATTGCAGTCAGCGCCATTGAATAACATCTCTACTAAAATTTCCAAATGAGAATTAACAAATCTCTTACTTCAGCAGGAAATGCGCTAAGTCCAAAATCAGATATTTTAAGGTTTCCTTGTGAATCTAGTAGAAGATTTTCAGGCTGCAACAAAAAAACGATAGTAAGAATTTCGTTTGATATATCGATAATAATAATTAGAATTCTTTTGTTGCCAAGTGACACCTTTAAATCTCTATGATAGACTCCCTTACTGTGGCAATAATCTACACCATCAACGAGCTGTTGGAAGTATCTTCGAGCTTCAGATTCACTAAGTCGCCCGTTGTGAACCTGCATGATATGTATGTGTATCATACACTAACTTAACTAACCCTATAAACGTAACAGAACACAATGGTTTTAATACTTCCATCAATGTATTGTACTTGAAGTTGAGAGGACTCACTATTTTATCAAACAACTCGCCACCTGTGATAAATTCCAAGATAATATAGATCTTTGTCCGGCTTGCTATGACCTAACAGTACAAAAAATTGAGTTAGTTGGCTATAAGGCACCTACAAATCAGCCCAAGAAAACAGTTTATTTTTTATTAATTATTTTTGGCATGGCCCATGCCTCATGTAGACGAACAACATATGGATGTCTGACACGCTTCATTATAGATATCTCCCTCTTAATCTGCATCAAGAAATGCAAAGAGCAGTTAGTCAGTAGTATAATCACAATCACAATTCTTTTCGAGAACCACACACTAATATAGAGAGTTAAAAGCGGTCTATATAAACCTTTTGAATTGCAACGTTTTAGCGAAGTTTTGAGGCAGAGCTTTTCTGCCCAGGATGAGATCTCATCAATTCAATCAAGCCAATTTCATTAATCTTGTGTTTTTAGTCAAAGTGTAATAGATAAGAAGTTCAAAACAATTTTCATGCCCAAATAAGCATAGCATATTATATATCAAAAAAGCATAATTTTGCCAATTGAGAACCGTACTCATTAATTAAAACTACTCGAAAATTGGTCCAAAGAAATACACAATTTCCTCTTTATATAGCTCAAATAAACTAAATCCTTATCCGCGCCATCTGCATCCAATTCTTTTCCATTAAAATTGTAAAATGCTGAAAATATTACAGAATTTGTTCTTTATTTAGCTCAAATCAGCTAAACCCTTATTTAAACCATCTGCATCAATTTCTTTTCCGTTAAAACATCCAATGCCTAAAAAAATCAAAATTAAAAACACAAAAATTCCAACCCATTAATTAATTCAATTTCCATAACTCAAAATTGATGAATCTAAAGGCTCATAATTATGGTTTAATACGTATAATACACCAAGAACAAAACAAACTAACCTGTTCGACCATCTTGTGCTTGATGATGGTGGAGCGATCGAGGACTTTCATGGCGACGCTCTCTCCAGTCTCCGTATTCTGCGCGAACTTCACTTTCGCAAAAGTCCCTTCTCCAATTGTCCTCCCCACCTCATACTTCCCCACCTTCCGTACAACCATTTTTCTCCCTCTTTTTTTCAACAACTATCCTCTAACCATATAATTTGATCATAAAAGCATCATTTCATCGGGCTTCATATAAAAGTTTTATGACTGTCTTTACATCCAAAATTGCAATATTTAATCAAAAAGGGATCAGAATTTGAATTTCAGCACAAGAAATGATTTGATTGTGGAATAATTATACATAAAGTCGTAAAACGGGGACTGAAAGTGGGTTTTCACAGAGACTAGGATGGGCCACTTAGAGAGAGAATTAGTGGAAGGATGATAATAATAACGACTTGAAAAAAGAGGAAAGTATTGATTTTTCTGTATCATGGCTCTAGGGTTAAATGAAAGCGAAAAGATAACCATAGGAGAAGGAGAGAAATAATATTGATGAAAAGATATTTTTCTTGTGAAAATCTTTCGAAATCTTGGGGTGAATAGAAATTTTTTTATGAGATTTTGTATTTGTAGTATCTGACTAAAAGTTAATATGTAAAGAATTTTATCATTAAAAGTTGGGAAATTTTTATTAAAAAAAAAAGGAAAAAAGAAGTCCAAATCTATGCTTGTCGATTGAGAGCTCAGATCTGCTGTTCACCTAATTACAAATTAACGTATCATAGAAAATTAAAATTGATTTTAAAGTTGAAAAATGAAAATCGATAACAACTTTAATTTTTCATAATGTATCAATTTGTAATTGTGTGAATATCAAATTAGACAGTAAAAATGAACAGTAGATTTCAAGTCGTTAATAGAAATATGTCTAATTTTAATAATTATTGCAAAAATTGTCAAATTGGCTCCAAAATGTTCATTATGCCCGTAATGAATGAAAAAAAAATAAAAAGATTTTTCTTACTGCAGCACGACCTTCGAGGTAGTTTCTTCCATGAGAGCTAACATGATGTGCAAGTTATTACCTGTTTGCTCCATTTCTTACATTATCTAGTAGGCAATGACCAATTGAAGATTGGAGAAAAGGAAGATGATGTCAAACATGGTTTAGCATTATTGAATTGTGAAAAATATGTGCACTAACAAAGAAGAAAATTACATAATTTCATTTTGAGAAAATAAAAGAAAGAATTTGCGAGTTGTTTCGACTCTTCACAAATTTTGATAGAAGGTAGTGTTTTTAAACTCTTGTTTCTGTTGATAAGTTGTGTAGAGTTATTGTTGTTTTATATGTGATTAAAAGGAATAGAATGATAACCAAAATAAGTTGTAAATTATTGGAGTTTCCTAAAAAAAAATTATGTTGATTGTGGAGTGTTACTCAAAAATTATGTCACGCCATTCTTAAATAACTTTGATAGTACGGAATATGAGGTAGTTGTGTATTGAAAATATTATTAATGTTGAGAATGAGTTCTTTATAACAATGGTGGTTAAAGAAGATGGTAAATGTAGCGATAGAAGTAAACCCAACATATCATTTTCAAAAGTATTTAAACATCGATAATGATATTTTAAATGATACACAAAACATTTTTCAAATGTCGAGAATGACAGAAAAAAATGGGCAAATGTAGGGAATGTTGTGTTTAGCATTTCACATATTGTGGGTGGGTAGCATGTTTTCATTTCACCTATTCGTGTGTAAGCTCATTGCAGTTGTGTTGATGGCATGCAGGTATGGGAATGCAATGAAGTTTGTTATCTCGCATGATGGTACTTTTGTCAATGTAGATAATGATTGGGATCCATACTCAAGTTTTATGCTCAATGAGTGAACCTAAGTACATAAACCCAGTGCTTGTATTTTGCAATACAAACTCAGAGCTCATTTGGGAGTGATTTTGAGAATTGATTTTTTTAGCGTTAGTAGAAAAGTGAGGTCCACCTATAAGAGAAGAAATCAAATATGACGATTGGAATAGTGAAATAACGGTAAAAAAATCCATTATTTGGAGGAAAAAATCACTCCCAAACAGGCTCTCAATATACTAGTCGGCGTGAACTCATTTAGTGCTACACCCTCAGAAAGCATCTGAACAAACATATCCAAACCCATATTAGAATCTCAGTTATTCCCACTCGAAAATATAAAAGCTGTCATGAAATTGCATTATTTTTCCTAATCTCGCAAAATGCCTTAAACGCCACGTCCAAGCTACTACATTTGGAATAGAAGCTATAAAGTGCACTCCTAATACAGGCATCATATTCAATTCCTTATTTTGTTATATACCCATGAATATGCTTCCCTAATTCAATAATATCACATAAAGAAGAGTAAGCATTCAATACAATTCCTAAATGTATAATTGTGGGGTACCCTCCAACATTCAACATTGCCTTGAGAACGCTAATAACAAATTGTTGATGCAAATTATGAACATAACCCTACATCAATGAAGTCCATGTAACCACATTTCTTTTAGGGCAAATTATCGAAAACCATTTGAGCACTTTCCATCATCCACATTTTGCATATACATTACAAAACATGTAACGAGGATTAAATCTTGATATGAACCCCCTCTTTATGACATGGGCATGAAAGGCTTGAACGTTTGAAACTAATTTTTCTGTATACATTCTTTTAAAAGTAAAAATAAAAAGTTGATTTTACCGTAGTATTACCCTCTATTGAATTGAGAAAATAAGCTTGCGAGCTCGTGCATCTTATGTGTGAAGGTTAAGTACACAAACAACAAAAATATAGAATGGTTCGCAAGTAAAAGGGGACGAACCATTCCCTTGAATTACAAGCTGGCAAAACCACTATTAATACACACGTGTATGATTATTTAAGGCAAGACTTCTGAACCAATAAATACTGGACATGTAAAATGATGAATAACATGTGAATACATTAAAAAAAAAAAAGTCAGTTATAAATCCACCAATATATGACATCCATATGTTATTTTCCACATTATCCCAAAGTCTTAAAGAAAATCTATAAATATTTCCACATGAGATGAAAAAAGGCATGCAAATCAAATATCTCCCTTTCAAATAACATTTTTCCTCTTACTTCCATTTGAGTATCAAAATCAGAGAGTATAACTCGAGCGATTCCTAGCTAGATGAGAAGATTTTTGTTGATTATAATTTTGTAGTCAACAAATTGGTGCCGTCTGTGAGAAATTGAGTGAAGAAATCTATGACTTTATCCATATGAGTTGGGAAAACACTAAAATCTACAAAAATGAGCCGAGTGAATGTAAGTCCACAGGAGGTTGGAGGTAAAGAGTTCAACCATGATCCAGTTAGCACAATTGCATGCTCAAAGCATAGGTGGAAGGATATTATAGTGAGATCACAAGAGGGTCTGTACCCCGTTCAATGTCAAAGTCTAGGAAAAGAAGTTGGTAGCAATACCATACAAAAAAATGGTTGAAGACCTCAAAATACTAACGACGGGACATGCTGCTTTGAGCATGACAATAAGGAACTTGAAAATAAACTTATCAGATAAGGTGCAGGATCAAAAACCATCGGAAAGATAGGTAATGAGCAATCTATAATATCGTCGATTAAATCTATAGAACTTAGAAGTGAAAATTCAGGTCTTGGAGAAGAGGTAAGAGTCATCCATACAATAATAATTGGAGAACATTTTCCCCATATACTCCTAGACTACGGAAGTACAAAAAATGTTTTATATGAAGAAACTTCCTATCGAATGCAGAAGTATAATTCCTATATTTGTGTTGAGTCTCACTACTTCTCCATATGCAGCCCAATCCTTCACAAATGGGGCCACTCTGTTGGTGAAAATAAGGAGGAGAGCCTCGACATATGAATTTCAACATCATAAATGAAAATCAGTTAGTGAATGCAATTACAGTACATGAACTACTAAACTTTCACTACAAGAAAAAAAAGGCTTTTTGCAACATGTAAACCGCAACATTCTCTAATTTCATGTTGCTAAAAGGGTGTATTACAGCATTCAGCAAATGCATGTTTCCATTGGATGAGAAAATTAAGAAATAACAACATTTTTTGAGTGAATGTTGCTAATACATCCCTTTGCAACGTTCAAAGACCTTTTTTTTTGGCAACGTGCATTGACCGTTGTTGTAGATATTTTAACAACGTTCAAAGAACGTTGTCGGTAATTAGTTTTGGCAACAGGCAATACACGTTACCGTTACATGTTTTAGCAGCGCTCACCCGAACATTGCTGTTAATCAGTTTTGCCAACGTTCAGTAAACGTTGTTGTTAAAAAGTTTTTGCAATGGGCAATGTACATTGTTGTATATGTTTTAGCAACGTTCATTGGATGTTGCCGTTGATTAATGTCACTGAACTTTTGGGCTCCAATAGGCCCAAATGTTTAACTTTATAAATCTTATATGATAAAAAAAAAATTAGTCAAATAATTATATAATGTGTACATTTAATACATCAAAAGTACTTTTATTGTTATGCTGTTGAAGTCAATTTAATGTTCATAGCAACTTTTTTATAGCAACTCATTGTTTACTTTCCTTTTTTTTTTTTTTTTTTTTTTTGGGGGGGGGGGGGGGGGGGGAGGGTAGATCTTTACTGCCAAGCTCTACTCACAATAAATGTGTCAAACAATTGTAGTGAAAGAAAATACATATTAAGAGGTTATAAGTGCATGCGAAATCTTTGTTTAGATTAAGAGGTTCACATCTACCCTCATCTACTAGATTTCACCTGAAGGGGCAAACTGAATGGGTAATGTATTGTTGAAGTATTATTTATACAATTTTGCTATCTGTACAATCATACTTTAAAATAATGGTTGAAAATATTGGTGTTTTCAAAATTCGAGTCATTGATTTAAAAAATAATTTTTAAAATGAATGAATGTGATGTTGCAAAGTGTGAATTATCAACCAAGGTTGTCAAACTAGATTGTACATATAACGTGATTCTTATTTATAGGCAACATTAGAGGAACAAACCTGTTACAGAATCTGCCTAAAATAATCTTAAAAAGTGTGCTTGGTGGAGGGCATGCGTCTATTTGAAGGAGGAAATGGACATAATCAAATGATAAGGACGTTATATCCAATGAAAGATTGTTACGAGAGTGCAATTGTCAATATTGAAATGATATGGATGTTTATTATCCTTTCTCTATGGCCTTAATCTTCCTAGCATTTTGAAGATTCTTCCAACCTATCATGTCATAATAATGCTAAAACCCTATCTTTGATGACTTGAAATTCCTAGCGAAATTGAATCAGCACCCCAATTGTGACAAAACCTTTAGCAGAAAAGTCAAAGGGACAAGGTTGGAAACATGCCAAAAAATAGGGCCCTGGCCAAATAGACAGTGTAATATAAAGTACATCCTGACACTCAAAAATTTGATTAGATAGAAAGCCTCATTGGTGCCATGTTTGAGGAGCCAAACC